CATAGTTGAAATAGTCGAATCTAGCATTTGTACCTGTAAACGAAGCGAATGAGGTCCATCATGGCACCTTTCCAGTGTTCCAAACGTGCCATACGACACTTACAGCTCCACGGAGAAGGCTCTGGGGCTCTGTGCTCTCCATGCCTGCTAGCCATTTAGGTGAGGATAGGGCACTTTTTAATTTAAATGACTACTTGCACCATCTTGCCTAATGGACTAGACTGGACTGTATCGACATCGGTTTACTCCACTTTTTATGCCTTCCATTGTGACGACGTCAGACACAGGGAAAGCCTTCGGTCATGCTATGGATTTCATTGTGTAACCTCATTACTGTATCATTCGTGGCCCTTTTTTTATTAAATACAGCTCATTCTTGCTGTGGCTTGTAGCATTCCTCCTCCTCCTCCTCCTCCTGGCCCCTGGACTCCCCTCCCCTCCGTCCCCCACCTCGCTCGGTGGTGGTGTGTAGAGCAACGTAAAGCACATGACATGAGTCCGTTTGGGTCAGTGGCAAAGGGGGGCTGTGTTGCAACCAATGTTCTAACAAACAGTTGACTGTAATCACTCCTTGCCATGTCTGGCACCAAAAGAAAAAAAAAAAGAGAAAAGGAAAAAAAATACAAACAAACTACTGAATAAAAGTGACAAAGAATGGAGAATCTGTTTTCTTTTTTTTTTAATCTACCTCTTTATACAAATACTCTGTGTTTTACCTTAGATGCATGAAAATAAAATGATGTTTTTTGTAATGATTTTAACCAGTATTAATTATTTTTGGTGGGCATGAAGAGAGGGAGGGGTGTCACAGGTTCCTGCCTTCGCCCCAGGGAGCAGAGCAGCCCCAGGGACTGTGCCAGCACCGCCTCGTGCCGCCGTGTCCCAGCAGTGCTGTCCCAGCTCCTCTGAACTGCTGGGGGAGCAGAACAATAGAGTCTTCATGGCTTCCAATCCGCTTGGTGGGACTACTCAGCTCTGTCCTGGCTGTCTCCACTGCCTCGTTTGGGACAAAATGCCTTTACTGCCTGGTGAGAGTCCCTCGCAGGACCTCGAGGGGCACTGGGATGTGCTGTGGCTCCGTAGGTAACTGCTGCATTCTGAGCTGCTCCTTGCTGTGCTTTTCTTGCTCTCCGAGTGTGCAAGTGTTTCTTCTGCCTTTGGCTTTGCACAGTTCTGCCCTTGGGCACGGCTCCCTGGCACGAGGAGCACAGAGGCTGCATGAGGTCAGTGTTGTGACCACAGAGATGTGAACTCCTCAGCACGTGAGGCTCAGCCAAAGAGGAACTCGATGTTGATGCTTTGGAAGGCTCATGAGTTTGTGCCCCAGTGCTTCCTGCTAATTGTGCTGTTAGGATTTTCTCTGGTGAAGTTCATAAAGTCCTAGTGAACTGGGAGAATTTTCACTTCTCAGTTGCCTGCGTTTGTTTATTTCTGTGGCTTAGTTAGAGGTAGTTATTACAATGATTATGATTTTATCAACTACGATCCTGTTTCTGCTGTAACATTCTGCCTGGGTTAGAAGTTGTTACAATCACTCTGATTTCTTCCTTGGGCAGTGGTTTGAAAATGTAAAAACTTTATTTATTGATCCGGTTCTCCCGTGCAGTGTTTGCTGTGTAACATACATGCTGACCATGAGCCTGGGTGAGATTTCACCTTCCTCTCACCTCTTAGCTCCTGGTGAACAGACACTTACACCAGGAGTTTTCCCCACCTCAGCCCAGCGCTCGGGGTGCTGGTGGTTCCTGGGTCAGAGCTCTCCAGCAGAGGCGGCTCGGGACGGTCAGGGCGCGTGTGCTCCGTCCCATCCCCGGAATCCCGCAGAGCTGAGCGGTCGAGCAGCTGTTGCTAAATATAAAGTAGAAGAAAAGCACTTCCAGGGTGCGTTATTGCAGCAGAAACACCAGCCAAGGTGTACGGGGAAGGATGAGCTCGTCCAGCTGAGCAGCAGCATGTGGATTTTCAGATTTGGGATACAGAAGTACTAAATGCAGAAAATAAAAGTAATCGCAGAGTGTTTAAGAGTTTAGAATCACAGAATGGTTTGATGAGACCTTAAAGCTAATCCCATCCAGCCTGGCCTGGAGCACTGCAGGGATGGAGCAGCCACAGCTGTTCTCCTTACTTAACTTGCTTCACGCAGAACTCCCTGGCACCACGAGGTCAGACTGGATTAGCTTTGCTCAGCTCTTGCAAGTAAATCACCTACTTTGTTATGTGTTTGATTTCAAACCACTAAAGTTTGGGTTTAGGGTTTTTTTTCTGGAATAAAAACCTTCTCACTGCTCTTCAGTACTAAAAGGCTTTCCTAGGAATTTCTGGCCATTGTTCCCCTTCTATTAACGTGGTTTTCTGTCCCTCCAACCCTGCTATTGTCACAGTCTTTTCCACCCAGGGATCCAAATTACTTTACAAACATTAATTACACCCTTCAAGTGCCCCGAGGACGTTGTGCAGTGGTTAGAGCACAGGCATGAAAGTCAGACCTTGTGAATGCTATTTCTGGCTCTGCACTGACTCACTCCATAATCCTGATCAATTTATTTCTGACTCAGAGATGTTAATAGTCCCACTTGGCTGATAAATATTCATGCCACAAGTGTTGTGGCAAATGCTTCCTGAGCAGGGAGGTGAGGAACAGGTGTGACTGTCAGGGTGGCACAGTGGGATTGGCTCACCTGGGCAGGTTTGCTGTCCAGAATCATCAGCAGCTCATTGTTTTGGCTCCAATCTCCAATGTGTCTGTGGCTCTTCCACCTGTAAACAGATGCTTTATTAAATGACCTGAATTGCTACTTTAATTGCTCTACATGTAGCTAATTCTCTCGTGTTGCTGTCCCAGAGGGTTTTCACCAGATCAGAAGTTACAATGTGCCATCAACAAATCTCTGGTCCCTCAGCTCAGGAGGGACATTGAGGGGCTGGAGCAGGTCCAGAGCAGAGCAACGAGGCTGGGGAAGGGACTGGAGCACAAGTGCCATGAGGAGAGGCTGAGGGAGCTGGGGGTGTTCAGCCTGGAGAAGAGGAGGCTCAGGGGAGACCTCAGCACCCTCTGCAACTCCCTGACAGGAGGTTGGAGTCAGGTGGGGGTTGGTCTCTGCTCCCAGGCAACAGCAGCAGGACAAGAGGGCACAGACTCAAGCTCTGCCAGGGGAGGGTTATGTTGGGTATTAGGAAGAGATTTTTTCTCTCTGTATGATCATTTCATGAGAGCTGCTTGGAGTAGGGAACTGGTACTGAAGCTACTCGTGTAGCAACCTGGGGATGGAACAGGATCTGTGGCCTGAAAAGTTGTGTCCAGGTGTGTTTCCTGGTGGGTTTGGGTTCACATCTGCAGGGATCTCCCTCACCCTGTCCCAGTCCCTCACA